AGTGAAAATGTTCAGTCAATAATTTTAACATATGTTGTTCTGTCTGAAAAAGGGTATATCCCTTTTAAAGCCCAGAAATAGTGAATAAGACTGCCTGTCCACACACCAACGTTTGTTCCAGTAATAGGTATTCTGATTCATATGAATACAACAGTCATTAAATTTTTTCATGATGTACATTCTTACAAATTATCCATAATCTAAGTTATCTACTTAGCAAATGCCCCACAAAAAAGATTATCAGTAACTGTATCAAGACAAAAGCAAACAATGGGAGAAAAGGGAAGTTAGAGAAAAATGTGACGGGATAAGGAGAACTAAATGAAAAGATTAAATAATCACGTAGATGGAGACATTCTTACTGGAAACTATACTACCTAACCTTATGGAGAAATACATTATTTGTTATCTCTCAGTGAAAACACTATCCTGAGCTGAAAATATTTATTCGGACCTTTAAAGTGACCAGTAAGTTTCATGAAATTATTTATTACTAGTTTCCATAAAGAATTAGAGGGAAATGATCTAAGTAAAAAGGGCATAATTATGAAAGAAACTTAGGGGTCATACTACTGACTTATAGATCCTGTGGCTAGAAAGGGCCCTGATGTGGGTATGCTTGAAGAGTACAGAAACTAAATGAAAAGCAAAAAATAAATAAATAAATAAAAAATACTACACCTCTTCCATATTTGGACCACTGTGTGTAGTTTTCAGGTTACAGACCTGAAGGAAGAAAATATGACTCAGGAAACAACTTAAGGTTTAATTAAATTGTTTTACAGATAAGAAACAGGATTTGGGGGCTAAAAGGAAGAAAAGCATGCCTGACCTACTTAGAACATATGAGCAAGAATAAAAAGCACTTTAGTTATGTAAGCACAGTTCTGTAAAGCAACTCAGACCATACAGAAACTTCTACCTAACAAACTTATAAATCACCACAATCTAATAATAAGTAAATATTTTGAATAAAATGATAGTGTTAATTTTGAAAATACACCTAATTCATCACTCCCTTCCTGAAAGTTTCTTCACTGGTTTTCTAATTACCATACCCTTTTGGGTTCTTTGTCCTTCTCTGGCTACACTTTCTTAAGTTTCCTTTACTTAAACAACTTCATCTACCTAAATATAAAATTTTAAATTGTTATGTCAGAACAAGAGACTAACAGATAATATGGTTAATTGCCCCCTACCCCCAATCCTGAAAACAACCATAAAACCTGGGCTTACAAAAACAAAGCTCTGCATGAAGGTACTAGAAAGTTAATGAAAGTAGACAGACTGAAGAGAAATCCAAACTTAGCATGAAGCAGGTAGCAAGCTATGCATAACCCCAATCACTCTTTGCTTCACTTGTAACTTTTAATTGTTTATATCCTAGAAACTTTTAGTAAAGTTGAATTCTAAGTAAGATTTCTAACAAGTCTGATTTAATAACAGAATTCTTTGTAATGTCTAACAAATAAAAGATAAAACTGTCAAAATTAATGATACTTTTAAAATGATTACTTTAGTAGTGTAAGTGAACTAAATGGTAATTAATACATATAATTAACAAAATACTTAAAAAAATATATCTTTTACCCTATGAAGAATTTCATTTTAAGCACAGTGTGGGAAAAAAACACCAAAAACAGAGTATGTAAAATTACAGAAAGCAAAAAGAAAAAGGTCACTGATTTTTAAAAATGCATACCTTGAAATATCAGAAAAATCTAAATAATATATGATTTTACATAAAACTTCTACCAATCACAACCTAAGGTATTTTTCTTATTTGTGATCCACTAATTATACCCCCTCAAAAAAGAAGCATCAGGCAGATTGATCTGAAAAGCTGATGGAAGTATAAAAGGTGGTTTTAATAATCAAGCTGAGCACATAAGATTAAAACAAAAGGAAAAATAGTTTTAAAATAGAGACGTTCAACAGCAGGCAGAACAGTCTCACAGAAGAATACACAAGTTCTCAATGTACAAGAATTCTCAACATAGGGAGAAGGAACAGACTCAGAATCATAAAAAAAAAAAAAAAAAGATAAAGGTAACTGTGTAAGCTTAGTTATGAAGAATTAAAGGATTTGAAACATAATTCACATCTTTGGGCCTTTTTTTTAAAAGAAGGTATCATATCATGTCATTAAATTATCTCATCCAATCTTTAGGAGAATGAGTCTAGATATTTTTTCAGGAGATGCAGTAAGGTGGTTAACTCCCATTTGACCCTGGGGGAGTTACTTACTTTTTCTAAGCTTCGGATTCTTATTCTGTAAGAATAGTATAATAATGATATCTAACTCATGAGACAGAGAATGTAAAACACAATGTCATGTTAGACACATAATAAAAGCTTCGTAAATGCTACTTATTGCCTTTATTATTGAATAAGTGACTTCTTACACTGTTTGAAATGTCATTTTATGTTTTAATTTCATCATCTACTTTTTCAACTAAATAACTTAGGGATTTGATAAGTGTTGATAAGCTAACTTTAGCTCCCAAAGAAAAAGAAACTGTTTCAGATGTCAGTTTTTATGTTGGTAACAAAGTTAAAAGTATGCATAATATTAGGCATCAAAGACTTGGGATTCATACATGATAGTCTATAAAATTAGAGCCTATGATTTTATAGCATCATAAAGATCAGGTCATTCATTTTTTTCTTGGCTAGAAAAAACAAACTCCCATTTCTAAAAATATATTGGGTTTTCTTCATGAGGATGTCATCTTGTAACAAAATACCCTGTTATCATAGAAAGCAAGTATAGGACAGTATGTCATGAATAAGACTATAAAAATCTAGTCGTGTATAAGCCAAGAAAAAAATTTCTCTGGAAAAATGAGTAAGCAGAGGTTTTCCTGCAAATTTAAAAGAGACTGTGAATTTAATGTTTTGTGACTATTTCTGTGATACTCACATAGAAAAACACTTCCTTAGAAAATTAAGAATAAGTGCTTTTCAATTAAGAAAAATTCTAACTGTATTTGCTTCTTTTAGAAAAGACCAATTTTCTAAATGTACCATTCAGAATGAAATTTGACAAGAAAAGCAAACCTATAGTCTTTCTGGTGCTACTTTTATTCTGCTTTTTATATTTAAATTTAATTCAGTGTTCAGAGAGCATTACAAAATAAGCTGAAGTCAGATTAGCCAACCCAGACCACCAACCCCCTACCACAAGCTCAAGGAGTATACATACTATATATTTTATGTCTTTAAAGAACATACTGGCTATGAATTTAGCTTGCTGGGTCAACAAGTTCAGAGTGGTCTTACATCTGAGGGCAAAACAGAAAAACAACCTATGATAGTGACATAAAACCTTGTAAATAAATGAACTTTTAACACTGGATGTGATTTCCTCTGCTGATGAAACTTAAGAATAACAAAAACCAAGCTTTACATAAAGACCAAGTAGGACAACTTTCCTTTCTAATGAACTAAATCAAATTAATTATTGAGAGTTATAAAAGGGAAGTATTCTAATGATTAATGAGAAATCTTTTGTTCTCAAACTCTTCATACTCTGCATATAAACTTAATATTTATTGTTTTGTTTTCTACCACAAAATAAAATCATATAGTGGATTAAAAATTGAGTAATTTAGGACTACAAAATGAAAGATACTACAGGGAAAAACTTGGGTAGGCACCTTGTTTAAGAGAAAGTGGAAGACAGAGCTACTTTATCACATCCTCTCGCACTATCCTCAAAGTTAAAAATCTCCAAATATTTTTTTGTTTTAGGAATATTATGTAAAAAAAAGGTGTACCAAAAAAAAAAAGGCTAAATGATTCACAAAGTGAAAACAAATAATTAGAAGTCAAATACAATATCCCCCTGCCCCCAAATGACTACATAAAAGGAGATTATTACTTTGAGAAAGAAAAAAATATATCAAATGAATTACATGAATTTCCTGTAGGGAGTAAGGGGTAAATAATAGAAATAACCACATTCACACTGAAAAGTACTTCCAAAACCTGTTTTTATTCAGATTAACTGGATAACTTTATCCTACGCAATACTTTACCATCCTTTTAAAAGGAAGAAAGGGTGAGAAGCTTTGATAATCTAGCTCAATTAAAATACTGTTAGAGAATTCTCTTGCTTTTATCTAACTCAAACTTAGAAGTCATACCAAATTATAACAGTAACATACATACAAAATTACCCTGTAATTAAGATAATTGCTAGTACCAAATGTGTTTTTTAAGTTCTGCAATAAAACAGTCTCCCAGACATTTAATGGTATGTCATTTGGGAAATGAAAGTTTCTATAAATTAAGAGCATGAAGAAGACCTAAAAATTATGCTAGTGAAGAGTCTGGCTGGAAAAAAAAAAATGAATCACGTTGGACTAACAGTAATTTTATTTTAAGTTACTATAGAACTGAATAAAATGCTGACAGTACCACATAAAAAATTTATTGAGTTGGCAAAAGGCAAGGCATAATGTCAGCCACCAATATCACCATCCACATTCCCAAAGACCATGAACATTTTTTTATATTTTTTAATATTTATTTATTATTTATTTATTTATTTTCAGGTAGACACAAGATCTTTATTTTATTTTTATGTGGTGTTGAGGATCGAACCCAGTGCCTTCTGCATGCCAGGCGGGCACACTACAACTTGAGCCACATCCCCAGCCCAGACCATCAACATTTTAATTCTAGAACTCAATTTAGATTATGTGCTTTAAGTGACACTAAAAATTAAGCCCTCACTCATGAGACATTATTAAGCATACATTAGTTTAGTTTGGTAGTTTTGACTTATATTATTCTAGCACTTTAAAAATTCAGGAAAAAAAAAAAACTTGGAAAACACAAGATTAAACATATAATTTTCTAAATGTTCTCTATGCCTCACAAACAGACCTATATAAATAAGCTCTGAGGAATATTCAAATAAATTAATACTACACATATAGAAAATGTAGGTTGATAGGAAACACAGAAAAACACTTATATCCACAAGTCCTTACCTTCATGGCATGGATTTCTTCGAGTAATCGCTGTGCCCGTCTTTGGTTTTTTAATAGCGCATCTTCAGTACCCCTGCCAAAAATATAACTTGTAACCAGGGGAAGTATAAATTTTCATGATGTACCATAATGGAAAGTATTTTAATTTCTTTAAGAAAAGCATATTAAATCTCTAAATGACAAACACTCTATCTTCTATTCTGCTAACTCTTCTTTCTCCCAACATATACCTGAATATTATAAACAAACTTAAGTATTTAAAACAGGCAAAAGAAGCATTGTCCTTGTGTTACATTAATGTTTGCCCATAAAATACTTTGTAACTAACATTAGTGATACAGAAAATACAAAATAGTCTCTTTTTAAAAAAAATTACATGGTATAACAGTAAGACAATAAATACTTCCAAGAGGAACAAAGGATTCCAAATTACTTAACATTCAAGAAAAAAGTGATATACAATCTTCATAACTACTTTAGGGTATTTCTAGATTTTTAAAACTTTTTCAACTTCTTAAAATGACTTCTAATAACATAAAACACATAATAACTCTAAGAAATTCCATTCTGAAGTCTAAAAGGAGAATTAAAAAAAAAAATCAGAAGAATTCATCCTATGTCTTAAGCAAATATGGTCCAAATCACAGAAGGACATGCTAACACAACACATTCTATCTCAGTCATATCTCTACAAATAAAACAGTGATAAATGAGTAAGATATTGAATTATTTCTCTAGGTTTCACCCTCAAGTTTTGTAAACATCAAATAAAAACAAATTTTGACATTTTATTAGGCATAAGATCATCATTTCAAATGACTAACTTTTTTGATTTCAGTCTGGCAACACTCCTGACAAGTTTTCGGATAACCAAAACTCGGATTCTCTTCACTTCTTTTCTCATCTTCACAACCTTTAAGAAATAAAGTAAAAAAATTAAAAGACCCTTAATCTGGAACAAACATACTTTAAATCTTAATATTATAAACTTTACCACTTTAACCAAATTTTTATCTAATTATATTCAAAGTTTGATTAATTCACATTTCTTCCATAAATAGTGAAGGAATAAATAAACAGTCTAAAAATGTGTGTGAGGGCTTAAGAGAACACAAGGTATGAATTTTTAAGAAGGCAGAATATTCTCAGAAATTACAATTTTAATATCATACTTATATCTTCTAGGGCTTGGAACATAATAGATCATGAGTTCTCTGAGATAAGAGACTGGCATATTAATCATCTTTATATTCTTGTGGTTTAAAGCAAAACTAGAGAAAATCACCATGTGAAATAAGCCAGACTCAGAAAGTGAAGGGTTGAGTATTTTCTCTCATAAAAAGAAATAACAACAACAAAAAAGGGATCTCATAAAAGCAGAAGGAAGACCAAAAGAGTAGAGTAAAAGTGTTAAGAGGGAGGGAGGGAGGAGGATCACACAGGATAATACTGAGAAATCAAATCTACTAAATTATGAACTGTCCATGTATGAAAATATTGCCATGAATTCCATTTATATAGATATAATTATAATGCACTAATTAAAATCATGATAATAAGAATAAAAATAGAAGGGAGATTAGTAGATTAAGCAGATCAGGGAGAGGAAATAGGAGAAGGAAAGGGAAACTATCAGGGGATGAGGCTGATCAAAACTATGTGTATGTACAAATATGGCATAATGAATCCCACTACTGGGTATAATTATAATGAACCAATAAAAATAAATTTTAACTATGTAATACATAAAAAAATTAATGGTAGGAAATTGATTTAATAACTTTGAATTAGCAAAAGCAAACATAAAAATAATTTTATTTTAATATTTAGAAGGTATCTTTTGTTCTTATTCTTTAGTAATACATTATCTCAAACATAATTCTAAAAGAAATCCCCTAAACACAAAGGTATGTTTTGAGTAGGCACATACATACACATAGAGATACATACTTTAAGTCATCCCAGTAGAGAATGATAACAGAATGATAGTTCAAAGACATAAAATATTCTAGTCATGAAAAACGTTTTATAATAGTACAATATTCAGTATAGTAGCATGTTATTACTGAGTTTAAGAGTCACATCTATCCAGGAGGGGTGGCGTATGCCTGTAATCCCAGCAGCTCAGGAGGCTGAGCAGCAAGAAAACTGGGAGTTCAAAGGCAGCCTCAACATCTTAGTGAGGTCCTTAGCAAGACCCTGTCTCAAAATAAAAAAGAAAAAGGGGATGATGCAGCTCAGTTAAGTGCCCTCAGTTAAGCATACCCTAATACAAAAAAAAAAAAAGAGAGAGAGAGAGAGAGACAGAGAGAGATATATATATATATATAGAGAGAGAGAGAGAGAGAGTGTGTGTGTGTGTGTGACACACCCACACATCTTATAATTTCTCCTGAAATGGTCTTCCCTTTTTAAATTTTAGAATTACATAAAATTCAATTCCAGTATAGTCTTTGCTGTGATTCCTTTAATGACTTCTTCAGTTAAGCAATTATGTTCCCATCCCTAGGGTCCTTGTATACTTTATAGGTTCTGTTATTAAATCATCCATCTCACTGTACTGTCAATACTTGCTCAGACAGATGTCTTTTTTTCTAGATTATAAGTTCCCATTAGGCAGAAACCTTGCAATATAATATTTAAATACTGTTTTCTACCCCTTGCAAGAGTGCCTAAAATATTCAACTCCTCAAATTCTTCTTACAAAAATAACAAGATCAACATCACCCTGTTTTTTCAAGGCACTTGAATTTAGCTATGACACCTTCTCTTACTCTTCCAATTAATATCACCCCACCTTTGGCCCCACTCCTTATCTTTGAAGATAATTGTGAGTTTGTAACCAACTCACAACTTCTTTCCATACTGTTTTGCCATTATTCCAGGTAACATACCAGATATTTTTCCTATCAGTATCACATCCTCATTTTTTGACCTTTCCTTTTCTCATGACCTAATCTATTCCACCTCAGCCACCTACTTCCATGGCCACTTCTAAAACCACTAATTCAGGTCACAATGTGATCACAACTTTTGCTATTACTTTGTTTGTTCAACTCCACCTACCAGAGCCATCTTAAATTTATTAGGACCACTGGTTCACAAACCCTTAAACTTTCTTTTCAATGATTAATCCTTTTTAATTTTTCTGCTTTATTATCCAATCTAGGTAAATGATCTACATACATTTGCCAATACCTTAAACTTTTGTTTCCCTGGCAAATAAATCTTGAATGAAAACAACATTCTGAGTTCTTCATGACCTTACATGCACCATTCTATCTACCACAAATTTATCATAACTAACCTCAAATTGACCTTTATCTTTCCTACTTATCTCACTGAATTTTTTTTTTCTGGTCAGTTCACTACAAAACTATTTTAAATATTTTCCATTTTAAACCTCTCCTAAAACCTCTGGTCTCTTTGCTCTCCTCTTTCAAGTTCAGAGAAAATAAGCATCATTTGGAAATCATCATCTTTCTATTACTATGAATAAGCACTTACTTACATTACCACTCTCCTTTATTAGTCAAGTTACAATATAAGCCCAAAACATATCTGAGGTTAAACTTTTAGCCACTTCTGGAGACTATCCTCTTCTGTCCTCCTAGAATCTTTATACTAGGGATTATTGATCTACTCTAGCACTGCCATTCTTCTCCTCTCAATGGATTTGTATTCCAATGTTTTTTTTAAAGTTGACTGCATCATTTTCATCAAAAAAGAACTACTGAAGGACTGCCCCTTTAATAAGACAAAGAAATCTCAGTGCCTAGTTCACCAGGACCACCCTTTCTCTAATTGCTAGTAGAGTTAAGCTTCTAGGAAATGTCCAAACTCACCAACTCCATTTCTGAAAGCCACACAAGTTCAGTATGATATTTATTCTCCTCAGTCCGTTTAGGACACTTCCAAAAATCCTAAAATCCAACAGGGATTTTTTTAGACTCCATTTCTCTTGAAATCTCAAGTGTTTGATATTCTTGGCCACTTCCTCCTTCTTGAGAATATTCTCCTCTTGGTTTCCATGACAGAAATCTCTTCTGGTTTTCTTCCTTCCTGTCTAGCCATACCACCTTGGTCTTCTTTGAAGACTTAACCAGTTCTACCCAACTATGAAATGTTAATAACTTCAAGGGACAGTTCTAGACCAATTCTTTTTTTTTTTTTTCATGCCATTAACATGTGATTCTATGTCTGAATATTGGTTTAATTTGCTACAAAGGTGATGCCAAAATTTTTACCTTCAGATATAATCTCCCCATTTAGCTCTAGACCCAAATGTGCAACTGGCTTGCTTGATACTTCTTTTTTGAGCATTCCCAGATCAGCTGAAATTCACAATGAAGCCCATGTCTTTATCCTTAACTGGATCCTTTCATGGTCTTTCATTATTTCAGAGATAGAAATATCCCCTGCTTTTTTTTTTTTGGTACCAGGGATTGAACTTAGGGGCGCTCAACCACTGAGCCATATCCCTAGCCCTATTTTGTATTTTATTTAGAGACAGGGTCTCACTGAGTTACTTAGTGACTCCCTTTTACTGAGGATGGCTTTGAATTCATGATCTTCCTGCCTTAGCCTTTCAAGCTGCTGGGATTATAGGCATGTGCCATGGAGCCCCGCCAGGAAACCCTTTTAATGATAAACCTAAGGTTCATTATAGGTATCCTTCCCAAACTCTGCACAAAGAATCTACAATTAAGTCCTATTTATTTTATCTCCTAATGATCTTCCAAATTGTACCACCTTTTTGGTTTTTTCCATATTTGGCCTCTTGGCAATCTTATCTGAGTTACTGTACACCAATTCTTGCCCTTCTCCCAGTCACTTATACATAATGTAGCCAGAATGAAATTAATTAACATAGATATGTCACACTTGAAATTCTCTTCAGTAGTTTCCAATTGATCTTAGCATGGACATAAGGGTATTCTTTTAGTTCATTGTCCACATCATGCTCACATTACCACAAAGCTTTTACATCTACCCTTTCCTCAAGAGGAAGAAAGATCTCTTTCTAGATTAGTTTAACATCTTTTTATCATGATCTGTCCTAACATGTCATTTTTGAGGGCACTTTTCTGGCTCCCCTGAGAGGGTAAAAAATTCCCTATAACAGAATTTAGGAATACCCAGACCCCTAGAACTTATCATGACCCTTAATATTTTTCTTTTAATCTTATTATGTTTAATGTGTCTTCACCTCTCAGGTAATATATTCCATGAAAGTCAAGTATCTGGTTTAATTCAACAATGCATCTTAATACTTAAAATAGCGCATGGTATATAATGTATGCTCAATAATATTTATTAAATAAAATACTCATCTGTCATTTACTATTTCAAATACATAATATATATATTTTTTATAATATATTAAAAGAACACAGTGTTAATCAGGCTTGCTTTCCCCTAAATATATGTGGGAAATGTTTTTTCAAAGTTAGATCTATTTAGTTAAAAAAAAAAATCACATTTTACATAAATGAAAAGCATTTTAGACAAGGTTTAAATGAATCAGAGAAATGCTACATTTCCTAAGGTGAACTACAAGAGTTTTTAATATTCTTTTAAAAAAAGTCATCTATAAAATAAATCAATAAGTGATAGTTATGTGTTAAAACATAGTAAAAAATGTTTCTAACTGCTGAATTTTGGAGGTGGTTAAGATGATGATATATCGTTTACTAACTACTGTTAACCAAACTCAGAAAACTGCAGTTGCAGAGTTGATCCTTGGTTACATTCCAGTCATGGGAAAGCTAGTCTCCAATTTTAAAATTCCAATTTAAGAAGTACTATGTTTGTCATTTCTAGATAAGGAAATTCTAAAAGCAATGAGAATGCTTAATATACGTAGTTTCATGCCAATACATCACAAAAAAATGTTTCCTAACCTCACTTTCTCAGTACTTGTATACTTGTTGAGAAATTTGCAAAGTTTAGTGTATAAGAAATAAGTATATTTACTTTATATAAAAAATGGAATCAAAGTTTTATTTCTTTCACAAATGTCCACTCCAAATGCAGCTTTACTTTAGCAAAACTGATGAGTAATGGCCTTTTGAGTTAGGCTTTAAAGCTTGCCAATTTATTTATCACCCAGGAACTATGAAGTTGGTTGACAGAACCCAGAAGACAGCAGGCAGGCCTAGAACACCCAACCATGCCAGAAGGCCAGTACACTGCTTAAAAGCAGCACACTTGGCAAATTCTCTAGCCAAAAGCAAGCAGTGGTATCTGTTAGAATGATGAAAAAAATTATGGTGTTGTTTGGAAAGGAAAAAGGAATAAAATGAGCAAGGAGAAAATAGAGACATAGTGATGGAAATGAAATATGCTGTAAAGAAAAAAACAAAATCAAAGAAAAATGAAAGGTGTTTAGAGAGAGACAAGGAAGAAAAAACCTGTAGGCTATCACCAAGACTGATAAATTACACTGAGGAATGTCCAACAACAAGAGCATGCACTTTAGATAATCTATCAGTTCAGAAGAAAATTACTTAAAACTTACATTACAGAATGTACATTGCTAATGGTGATATAGCTCTTGGAACTTAGGCATATAGATGCCCTCAGAGTTAATCTGGTAAAACCTACAATTAGGGTAGCCTGGATCAATTTTTGGTTAAACAGTACAAAAATATGATCATAAACAAAGTGGAAACTTAATATGCCTGCTGGGAAATGACCACATGAGCAGAATAAAAAGTCAATTAATCCAAGATGGTGGGCCAGAGGGAAGCAGTCGCTCCATGACCTGGGTCTCAACTAGTGGGAATACTATTGCTCTGAGAGTGATAGAGGAACCCTACACAGCTGCTCTTGCGCAGAAATCACCAGTGCTGTGCCCCCATGCAGGGCTCCAGATCTCAGCATTAGAGCACGACTTAGGCTCCGACGCCCAGCTCCCGACTATTAACGTAGGGCTGGTAAGAGCCTTAGCTGGATCACTGCATCAGCACCTGCACAGAACTCCCAGAGGCTGCTCCACTCCCTCACAGGACACACAGCCCCTACCCACCCACAGGAACGTTGCCACTCCCCTGTGGACCCCCATCTACAAACGTGGGACTCCTCTGGTTGCCTCCATCTTGAAATTTGGCAGCTCCTGCCATATTCCCCTATTGTACAGTAGTAGTTTGCCTGCACCTGGGGACATCCTACAAGCTCTGAAGACAGCCCAAAGCAGTAACACTGCACACAACAAAGCTCATCTCTGAACACATTGGACAATGCCATCAACTGACTCCCCACATTCAAACTGATACCCTGGTGCTGGAAATGGCTCACCTCCATCTTTGGTCACCTTCCTCGCCATCTTTGGTGGGGGCAGCTCCCAGGTTGGAACTCCAGCTGGCCAGGTTTCCAAATCCCCCTCTTCCCAAAGACCCAGCACAGTGACTGCCCAAAACAAAACAGCTCTCGGTGGGACTGGTGCATAGTGCTACCAGGGTGCCGTCCATGAGAGCCAGGTGAGAGAGGTCCTTTAACTGGGAACTAGTAAGGGAGAGGGAGAGGGTCCAACAGTTTGGAGGTAAGAGAGATACCAGAAACTGGGAAATATTCAGGCAAGATAAGGTGATAAGACTGGGCACTCAAGTCATATGAGTGGACCCAAGAATTGACACTTGGGGTGCAGTCTCCCTACAGGGACTGGCAGGTGCTACACCTTACTTCCAGGTGCCCTGCACCAGAACTAACCTTCCCACCCTGGTTACCTTTACTAACCTTGAGGGTGGAGATAACAATAGACAACACACCTATTGGATAAGAAGGGAAGCAGGACAGATACTGATCTCCAATGCAAACAGTAACAATCCTGTTTTCTTCCTTTGAAATTTTTTCCTTCTCTTTTTCTTCTCCCCTCTATTTTCCTTCCATCACATCTCCAACATAGGTGAAACCAAGTACTTTTCATGAATTAGGATTTGAGGACTGGGACATCTGAATAGCATATTATAGTTGTGTTGTATATGCTGTTTTTTTTTCCTCTTCTTTCATTTTCCCTCTAATTTTTACTATTTTAACATCTTTTATTTCTTTTTACATATATGTTTGTTTTTACTCTACTGTCTTCCAACATACTTGTCTACCCCAAATTACATCCTGTCTATTCTCCTGCTACTAACTCTCTTCTTTAGATTTCTTCCTAAGATATACTAACTCTATATCTCACATCCTGCCTCCTCAGCATATCATCCTATACCTCACCCCCAGTTATTGTCCACCTTCAGAAACTGTAAACCCTTTTACAAACCTGATTATATTATAGATAATAATCGAATTCAACATTTCTGTACACTGTGACCAAATTGTAAATGTCTAAATAGCAATGAATTGTTTATAGGTGGTAATTGTTTATATTGGATCTGTTAACATTGTCCTTCCCCACAAAAGAGAGGTATTGGAACCCTATAGGAGCACTATAAGCCTATAGGGTAAAAATGATAATGCCTTGGATCCACAGCACTAGAAGGAAGGACATATGAGCAACATGAAAAGACAAATGAAGAAAGTGCCCCAAACAAATCAAGATACCACATTATTAGAATCTATGGTTATCACAGCAGAAGAGATGATAGAGGAGTTCAGGATGTACATGATTAAAATGTTCTGTGAATTAAAGGATGATATAAGAGAGCAAATACAGGCAGCAAAAAATCATTTCAACAAAGAGCAACATAAACAAATACAAGAAGCAAAAGATTACTTCAGTAGGGTGATAGAGGTTCTTAAACAAACAAACAAAAAATAAAAATCCTTGAAATGAAAGAAACAATTGAAGGCATCACCAATAGAGTAGACCACTCAGAAAAAAGGACCTCAGACAATGAAGACAAAATATATAATCTTGAAAAGAATGTAGACCACACAGTGAAAACGGTAAAAAAAAAACCATGAGCAGAACATTCAAGAAATATGGGATAGCATAAAAAGACCACATTTAAGAGTTACTAGGCTAGAGGAAAGGCATAGAGTTCCAAACCAAAAGAATGAACAGTCTATTCAAAAGAAAAAATATCAGAAAACTTTCCAAACATAAAGAATGAATTAGAAAACCAAATTCAAGCACCTTTACAGGACACCAAATGTACAAAATCCCAACAGTTCCACACCGAGGCACATTATAATGAAGCAGGAGGAAAAGATTAACATTAAACAGAAACATGAGGTGGGAGGGAAAGGGAGAGAAAAGGGAAATTCCATGGAAATGGAAGGAGACCCTCATTGGTATACAAAATTACATATAAGAGGTTGTGAGGGGAATGGGAAAATAAACAAGGAGAGAAATGAATTACAGTTGATGAAGATGGGAGGGGAGGGGAGGGGGGATAGTAGAGGATAGGAAAGGTAGCAGAATACAACAGTTACTAATATGGCATTATGTAAAAATGTGGATGTGTAACCGACGTGATTCTGCAATCTGTATTTGGGATAAAAATGGGAATTCATAACCCACTTGAATTTAATGTATGAAATATGACATGTCAAGAGCTTTGTAATGTTTTGAACAAACAATAAAAAAATCTTTAAAAAAAAGAGAGAATATTAAAAGCCACAAGAAAAAAGAATCAGATTACATACAGGAGGAAACCAATTAGAGTAACTGCAGATCTTTTAACCCAGACCCTGAAAGCCAGAAGACCCTGGAACAACATCTATCAAATATCAAGCTCTGAAAGAAAATGGATGCCAACCAACCATCTTCATCCAGCAAAATTAAACTTTAGATTTGATGATGAAATAAAAACCTTCCATGATAAACAAAAATTAAAAGAATTTACAGCTAGAAAACCAGCACTACAAAATACCCTTGGCAAAATATTCCATGAAGAGGAAACGAAAAACAACAATGAAAATCAGCAGAGGAAGGTATTATACTTAAAAAATAATAATAATAATCAAAGGAGAAACCAAGTCAAGTTAAATAAAAAGAGTAAACAAAAATAGTGGGGAATACTAATCATGTCTCAATAATAACCTTGAATGTCAATGGCTTACACTCACCAATCAAAAGACATAGGTTAGCACACTGGATTAAAAAAAAAGAACCAACAATATGCTGCCTCCAGGAAACTCATGTGATAGGAAAACACATCCACTGACTGAAGGTGAAAGGCTGGGAAAAATCATAACACTCACATGCTATGCAGAAGCAAACAGGGTTTTCATCCTCATATGAAATAAAGTAGACTTCAAGCTAAAGTTAATCAAAAGGGATAAAGAAGGACATTTCATACTGCTCAAGGAAACCATACACCAACAAGACATAACAATTATAAATATTTATGCCCCAAATAATGGAGCGTCTATGTTCATAATACAAATTCTACTCAAGTTCAACAGTCAAATTGACCACAACACAATATTCTTGGGTGACTTTAACACACTTCTCTCACCACTGGATGGATCTTCCAAACAAAAGCTGAACAAAGAAACTATTGGACTAAACAATACAATCAATAACCTAAGACTTCAATGACATAGAATATTTCATCCTTCAACAAGAAAATATGTTTCCTTCTCAGCAGCACATGGATTCTTCTCCAAAATAGACCATATGCCACAAAGAACTCTTAGCAAATATAAAAAAGTAGAGATACTACCCTGCATTTTAACAGATCATAATGGAATAAAACTAGAAATCAATGATAAATTAAAAAATAAAAAAAAAGCTACTTAACACCTGCAGACTAAATAATATGCTACTGAATGAACAATGAGTTGCAAAAGACATCCAGGAGGAGATTTAAAAATTTTTAGAGGTGAATGAGAACACAGATACAACATATTGAAATCTCTGGGACACTATGAAGGTAGTACTAACAGGAGAGTTCATTGCATGGAGTTCATTTCATTTCTTAAAATAAGAAAAAGTCAACAAATTAATTACTTAACATTACATCTCAAAGTCCTAGAAAAAGAAAACAACATCAAAAGGAGTAGAAGGCAGAAAATAATTAAAATTGGAGCTAAAAATCAATGAAATTGAAACAAATGAAAAAATTGACAAAAAGTTGGTTCTTTGAAAACAATAAATAAATTTGACAGACCCTTACCTATGCTAACAAAGATAAGGAGAGATAAAACTCAAATTACTGACATGTGATGAAAAAGGTAATATCATGACAGACACTTCAGAAATACAGAAGATAATTAGAAATAATTCTGAAAACTTGTACTCCAATAAAATAGAAAATATTGAAGGCATTGACAAATTTCTTAAGTCATATGATTTGCCCAAATTGAATCAGTATGATATAGAAACCACCATCAGAAGCCTGCCAACCAAGAAAAGCCGTGGACTGGACGGATACACAGCCAAGTTCTATAAGACCTTTAAAGAAGAACTAACACCAATACTCTTCAATTTAATTTCAGAAAACAGAAAAAGAGGGAGCACTTCCAAATCCATACTATGAGGCCAATATCACCATGATTCCAAAACCAGGCAAAGATACTTCAAAGAATGAAAACTTCAACCCTGAAAGCTAAAAGATGCTGGAAGAAGATCCATATCTCTAAAGAACATTCTCAGTAAAATTCTGGCAAATCAAATATAAAACATTATCAAAAAGATAGTGTACCATTATCAAGTAGTATTCATTCCAGGGATGCAAGGTTGGTTCAACACATGGAAATCAATAAATATAATTTATCACATCAATAAACTCAAAGATAAGAATCATATAATCATCAAAAAGCATTCAACCAAATAAAGTACCCCTTCATGTTCAAAACACTAGAAAAATTAGGGATAACAGAAACATACTTCAACATAGTAAAGGCTATCTGTGCTAAGCCCCAGGCCAACATTCCCATTTTAAATGGAGAAAAATTGAAGGCACTCCTTCTAAAAACTGGAACAAGACAGGGATGCCCTCTTTTACCACTTCGATTTAACATAGTTCTTGAAACACTGCCGAGAGCAATTAGACAAAAGAAATTAAAGGCACACAGATAGGAAAAGAATAACTCAAACTGGCACTATTTGTAGATGATATGATTCTATACCTAGAGGAACCTAAAAGTGCCACCAGAAAACTTCTAGAACTAGTAAATGAATTCAGCAAATTAGCAGGATATAAAATCAACACCATAAATCAAAGGCATTTCTGTATATCAGTGACAAATCCTCTGAGAGGGAAATGAGGAAAACTACCCCACAATAGCCTCAAAAAAATAAATAAATAAAATACTTGGGAATCAATTTAATGAAAGAGGTGAAAGACCTATACAATGAAAAATACAGAACCCTAAAGAAATTAAAGACCTTAGAAGATGGAAAGATGTACCTTGCTCTTACATAGGCAGAATTAATATTGTCAAAATGACCATACTACAGCACTATACAGATTTAATGCACTATACAAATTTAATGAAAGTCCACTCAAAATCCCAATGACATTCCTCATAGAAATAGAAAAAGCAATCATAAAATTCATCTGGAAAAATAAGAGACCGAGAACAGCTAAAGCAATCTTTAGCAAAGAGAGTGAAGCAGATGGCATCTCAGTATAGCAGACCTTAAACTATACTACAGAGCAATATCAAAAACAGTATTGGCACCAAAACAAACTGGTAGACCAATGGTACAGAAAGAGAACACAGAGATTAACCCACATAATTACAATCATCTTATACTAGATAAAGGAACCAAAAATATACATTAAAAAAAAGACAGCCTCTTCAACAAATGGCGCTGGGAAAAC